AAACTACTGGTACAAGTCATCCACTTTGATGAGTAGGGAATGAAACACATTTAACATTCTTCTGTGTTAAAATACATTTCTTATTTTATGAGTTTCTTTTATTTTAAACAAAACATGCAAATTTAGTCTTAAATGCAGAGCAAATGTCTATAACCACACGGAGGCCACATAGACTCTTCTATCTTTAATGCCCACCATTGAAAGATACTACAATGTGAAAAGAACAGAAGTGTCTAAAAGTGATATGTACGTATATATTTTTAATCAATTTTAAAACAATTCTAAAACATTTTTCTAAGAAAAATCTGTGGGGTTTGTTACATTTAACAGCTTTGACCTATAAATGGGTAACTCCTTTGCCCTGCAGAAGACAGAAGTCATCTTGCTAAATCTGGTTTGGCAGCAAATCCATTCTTCTGAGTCCTCTGCGAGACTATCTGGTCTCTCAGTCTAGTTCCTCATGAACGGCTGTCTACATAACAGAATCAATGTGCTACCTGGCACCATTGCTGGCAAGTATGGCCAACAACTAACTGAGCTTGGCAACTGAATTGCTCTCTCACCCTCCAAAAAAGCTTCAAAATTCAGAAATAAAGCACAGAGTTTGGGGAACAATAGGGAAACCTCACTGACATAATTACTGCTATAATTTTGTCTACTTGTCAAGTAGAAGCAGGATTTTAACCTTTTGGCATGTCTGTTTAGAGCCCTTCATAGAGATAGCTTAGAACATACTTACAGAAGTTGATAAGCGCTTGATCTTGCAGTCTTTTCCAAGAGGAATGGCATGGAGTTTAATTTGGGGGACTACGAAGCCGCTGCATAACTAGAGTAAAATTCAGAAAAACTATTCTGCGCTTCCAGCACCAAGTGACCCACGTTGACTGTTTATATATTTCGACGTTATACAGAAGATCGCTTACTGTTTAGCGGTACGCAATCATACCACCTGCTGCCAACAGCACTATTCAATGTGAGGATCTCAGTTCACTGGTACCACCACCACGTAACAGTAAGCACGTAAGAAAAGCCTCAGCCAAATTACAAAAGATGTGGTTTTAAACCAAGTGAGGAGACGGAGGAGGAGAAATTTCCTAGATTAAGTGAACCAGAGAGATATTTTAATCAGAACACAAAAGAAGGTTGAAACAAACACCAACTGACTCGGATCATATCGCATCAATAATCCATGCACAGAGCCTCTGCTGAAATCAATGGGAGGCTTGTGCGTAAGTGGATTGCATAATACAAATGCATGCTCCTATTTAGGGCTCCACATACAAAAGAGAAAGCACTACTAAGAACAATTCCCTTAATTAACATTTCTCTTCCATCAAGTGCTTCTAAAATAATAAATCCTAACTTCACATAGCTCTGTTTTCATTCACAGTTTTTACCAGAGGTGGTAAAACAACTGACCCCATTTGACAAATAAGGGAACTGAAGCACAGGATGCAAATTAAACTGAAGAGCAGGGCAGCAGGCAGAACTGAACTGGGAATAGCAGTTTACCTTCTGAATCACAGTTTAATGTCCTAGATATTTAGATGCTTATCTAGCTCAAGTCTCTAATTAGGGTGATTCTGTGCAGTCCTCAAATAATTTTGCATACTTCCTGAAGTACCTGTGCACAGCAATATGCTTATCTCTATGAGTTTCCCACTCAATAATGTAAATTTTTTTGAGGACTGCAAATGGCCTACAGAGGTTCAAAACACTGGACTGCCCTGGTCAGACTCCCCTGGTACCCCACCAGTCCCACCACAAAGGATCTTAAAACTGGCTGTCAAATCCACACTTTCCACATGCTTTCTATTGTTTAAAAAAAAGAAAAATTACTTTCAATTCAAAATACCAATTCATTAGCTGGAAATGACCTAACTAATCCTGGTGTTCCAAATTGACAGTGGTCCATAAGAAAAAGCCAGACTGGATCTCTATTCAAGAAGAAAGTGCAACACTCACAAGAAGCCAGTGTAAAACGTCAAATACACCAATTGCAAAAAAAATTTCCAATCTCGTTACTCTACAATTTGTTGAAGCCAAGTAAGGAGGAACATAAACTGTACTGTAATTTGACCCCCAAAAAGCAACATGTTTATTAATGTGATATGAAGTTATAAATAAAATAGTTTTACTTGCATACTAGCTGAAAATCTGACTTCACCCATAGAACCAGCCTTTAGCTAAATATAGACCGTCTCCTCCCGAGGTCCTGAGTATTCTTTCTCCCATGAAAATACAACTTTGAAATGCTTAACACCTTACGAAAGATGTATTCAGCAATACATCCACTTTCTAGTTTACATCTTGCATGTGATTAAGTACTATATTACACAGGGTTAGTGCCAATAACAAGCATGTTCATTTCCCTTAACTATAAATGCAAGTCCATAATACTGTGAAAATAACATATTTTAAGTCAAATGAGCTTTCTGCTCTTCCAATTTGCAGTGTTCAACTGTTCTGAATAATAACTTTTCAGGACTGGCTTGTTTTGTCTTTTGTTTTCCTTTTTCAGATTTTTTTTTTTAAGTTAAGTCTATCACTGACAAAACGAGCAGGTGAAGTGCCTGCTGAGAAACGGCCACATTTCCAGACAACTGCTTGAAGAATTATTTTTCTGATTCATCACAGCTTTTTTTTTCAAGTTGTCAAAACAAACACCACACCCACTTGATTTCCGAGTTCTGAGTAATTATATTTAGAATTAGCAAGCACCGTGCAACTATTAATCATACAAGGTTTAGCCCTCACTTTACCTATTTAGAAATAAGCCAATGCATTCAAATGCAGTCTGTTTAGCATTTTATTTAAAAGATATCCTCATCTCTTCATTCTGTACCACCACCACTGACACAGACAGTCACAGAAAATATAGGGCAGTCCATTCAGTCAATCCCTCTGCCCCAAGGCAGGATCTGCTACTCCTCAGCCACCGCAGCCACCATTATCGCTGATGATACACAAGAACTAGTTATTTCAGGCAGCAGCTTTATACACACACTCGCTAAACACATTATAAATTAAAGGAGGAATGCGTGTTTCAAGTCTGCAGTGCCTTAAACTGGGACAGTGCGCAAGCCAGTCTACGAAAGATAAAAATTAAAAATAAAAGCTCCCCCAAGATGCGAGTCCGGATTTTCTAAAAGTAGTATCTGGCAACATTAACGCCGCTGCCTTTAGAAACAGTTCACCTCGTTTAAACTGGATGAACCACCCCGTGATTATCACCGAGCCTCCATTAAGATGACACACACAAACAGAGCCCTCGCAGAGCTTAATTATTCTTTTCACTGCCCGTACACTGCAAGACACATACTTTTTTCTTTTCTTTTCTTCCCTTCCTTCCCTTCCCCTCTGCCCGGCAGACGAGCAGCTGCACGCAGGGAGCGCAGCGATGTCACGGGGCTGTCACCGCGGCGGG